GAAATCAATATCAATAAACAAATTGCCCAATTAAAAAATGGGGCACAGAACTGAACAGAGAATTCTCAACAGAGGAATCTCAAATTCCCAAGAAGCTCTTAAAGAAATGTTCAACTTCCTTAGTCATCAGGGAAATGCAAAGCAAACTAACTCTGAGATTCCATCTCACATTGGTCAGAATGGCTGAGATCAAAATCTCAAGGGACAGCACATGCTGTCAAGGAAGTGGAGAAAGGGGAAAACTCCTCCATTGCTGGTAGGAGTGTAAACTTGTACAACCACTTTGAAAATCAGTCTGGTGCTTTCTCAGAAAATTGGGACTAGCTTTACCGTAAGATACAGCTATACTCCTGCATATACCGAAAAGATGCTCTACCATACAAGGACACTTGTTCAACTATGTTCTTAGCAGATTTATTCATAAAAGCCAGAAACTGGAAACAACCTAGGTGTCCCACAACTGAAGAATGAATAAAGAAACTGTGGCACATTTACACAATGGAATACTATTCAACTATTAAAAACAAAGAAATCATGAAATTTGCAGCACATGGATAGAACTAGAAAAGTTCATCTTGAGTGAGGTAACCCAGACCCAGAAAGACAAACATGGAATGAACTCACTTATAAGTGGATTTTAGTCATATAAGCACACTACAAGGCACAGACCCAAAGAAGTAGCTTGGAGGATCCAAGGGAGGATCCATAAATATCACTCAGAAAGGGAGACAGACTAGACAGAGGTAGTGGCTGAAGAGAGGGAATGGAGTAAGAGAGGGGCGCAGAGAGTTAAGAGGGTAAAGCTCGAGGGTGAGAAGACAGAAGGCCTATACAACAGAGAGAAACTGAGGGTGGGGGTATCTGTGAGAAGATGGAGACCTAAGTTAGGGTAGGTTTCTGGGAGAATATGATGGGGACTCACGCAGAGACTCCTAGCGGCAGAGGCCATCGAGACGGAAGAGGACACCCTCTAACTAGTGTAGTCCCCTAACAGAGGGAGGGGAATACCCACCCATCCACAAAAACTCCAACCCAAAATTTATTCTGCTTACAAGATGTGTGGGGTTAAAGACAGAGCAGATAGAACAGGGATTAAGGGGATGCCCAACCAGTGCCTGGCCCAAAGAGTCACTTTGTCAGAGAGTGCCAACCCCTGACATTATGAATGATAACTCTGCTAAGCTTGCAGCAAGGCATTTTCTTAACTAGTGATTGATAGGGGTGGTGGTGCCATTCCTGGGTTGGTAGTCTTAAGATCTGTAAGAGAGCAAGTTGAGCAAGCCATGAGGAGCAGTGCTCCTCCACACCTCTGCATCAGTCCTTGCCTCCAGGATGCTGCTTTGTTCTTTCCTTCAGTGATGAACAATGATATGATGTATAAGTCAAGTAAATCCTTTCTGCTCCAACATTTAGTTATGGCATTTCATAGCAGCAAAAGAAACCCTAACATTCCATAGTAATGGGAACAGGGACTGTCTCTGACATGAACTGATTGGCCTGCTCTTTAATTACCTCCCCCTGAGGGGGGAGCAGCCTTACCAGGCCACAGAAGAAGACAATGCAGCCACTCCTGATGAGACCTGATAGAATAGGATCAGAAGGAAGGAAAAGAAGACCTCCCCTATCAGTGGACTTGGGGATGGGCATGGGTGGAGAAGGGAGAAGAAGGGAGGGATTGGGAGGCTACAGGGGGGGATACAAAGTGAATAAAGTGTAATTAATAAAGAATTTTTTTTAAAAAAAGAAACCCTAACTAAAACATTTCCCTTAGTAGTTTTGCTTTTTCTTAGAATTTGGTTCTATGGAAGCAGCTTGTGTATAAAATAGAGGGAGGAGGTAACCACTGTGGGGCCTATACTGAAAGGCATGTTTAGAAGGAACCAAGATTGAAGCACTTCCAGAAGCTCCCTCTATAGTAGAGCCAGAAAGGTGAGAATGTGCAGAGCAAGGAGGCCTCAGCACCTTAGAACAGGGAGAAGATTAGTGTTAACGTGCAGCAAGTCACCATAGAGAGACCAGCTCTGTTAGGCAGAAGGAAAACCAGAGCTAAAATAATCAAACACGAAGCTACCGGTCCTAGAGTGTGATTGACTGGCAACCAAGAGTGAGAAGTAGGATGGCACAGCAGGAACACGGGAGTCTGGCACTTTTGCTTGGGCTCCCATCTGCCATGTCTTGGAGGATCAGATGTGATTTCTGCTGGATGGTGAGATAGGAAGTCTCTGAGCTGTTTTAAATGTCCCACTCTGGTGAGGAATGGTTCACATGTGTGGATGGGAGTGAGCCTGCCAATAGAAGACGTCAGTGAGGAGTCATAGAACTTGCAGGGAGTGACAGCTCTATCTGACAGTGCCCATCTTTCTGGAGGGAAAAAGGCTTGTGTGTATGCATCTCTCACCAAGTTATTCTCTTCTGCCGAACCATGGCAGGCTCCTGGTATTCCAACAGATAATTTAAAATCCATAGCCAATGTTCTTTATCTCTGGCATCTGTATTCAGAATACCCTTTCATCCAAACATAAGCCAAACTCTTCCCTATATTGTTATTTTCTATCCTTAATTATCTACTCTTTTTTTTCCCTCAACATCAAAAATCTTTTTGGTATCTCAATTCATTTGTTGGAATTCTTCCTATTCATCAGTATAAATTAAGAATTTCCTTCTTCCTGATCCCGTTCCACCCCCACAGAATCAATCTGAGGGTTATCATTTTTAAAAAGAATTTTGTTTGAATCAGTTATGAATGACTTTCTATTGTGTAGCTTCTAGTTTCAAATGTGTGCATTGTATGTTTACAAAATATGAAAGTATAAATTTATATCATCTGTATTTCTCTTTCTGATCTACTTAATTTTTTATTTTATCTCTTATATTACTTTGATAATAGCATAATAGGTCATAAGAAAGTTTAACAGTCGTGGGTGGTTGAGAGACAGAGGAAGAGATGTGAAAGAAAAAGAAAAAGGTGATAATAAGAGAAAAAAAATAAATGGAGCAGCACCACAAATTACAGCATTATATTAAAGTAAGGGTATAAATTAAAATAGGTTTCAAGGAAAATAACACAAGAAAATTGAATTTCGTACATGCCAGACTCCCAGGAGTACCCACAAGGCATAAAACAACAAAGTCAGATTTGCAAAATCCTTGTTCATTTGTAATTTTGTGAGAGGAGTCCCTCTTTCAGAGAAGAGCAAATTTCAGGTGATCTGGGTAACAGAAACACACAGAAGGCCTGAAAATGAGGGTGCTGTCAGAGTCTACAAATGAAAGGTGAGTCTGGAGAAAATACTTTGAATATGACTAATGTACTAATGTTTTTAAAGAGAGGAGATAAAAGAGTTGTGCTTTTCTGAAAGCCCCCTCTGTACAAGGCACAGCAGCATCTTCAAAAGTGAGTGGTTGCTGGATTTGTTAGGTGGCCTCACAGTTATCCTGTGAACAAGAGACTATGTGAACACATGGAACAAAAAAACAGAAGTGATCTCAATCTAAACAATTTTTAACCAGCAAGGATTAAACCCTTGTTTGACTGCACTTGTACCTGAATGCACAGTCCATGTTCTTCCGTGTAACATGCACAAAACAAATACCATGCCATCACTCAAGTCAAATAGCATTTTTGATATTTCCCAACCCCTCTACACACTTTATACTCAACTGGCCACTAAATTCTGTCTGTTCTTGCTCCCAACAATCTTTTCAAATGTCTCTGTTTTCTTAATTCTATGTCACCATCTAATCTGTGCCGTCTTTCTTAGCACCATTTTTCTCAGTTTCAGTTGATGTTCCATGTAACAACAAGAATTATCTAGTCCAGAAGCATGCTCTTCTTGTGGTTCTTTGGTGAGAACAAAGATGTTGGAGATCTTTAGCATGAACAATACAGCTACCGGAAGCTTCTATTTAGCAGTGCTGTTAATTTGATGCTACTTTTCAGGCCTATTGTCTTTTCTTCTTCAATCACTGAGGCTTAGGTTTAGTCTCATTTTATTATTTATTGACTGCAATTAGCCTGGCTTTCAATCATTAGACTCTTCCTTGGGGCTTTGATTTTCAGCTCTCACCTAATTTCCTTGCTATGTGCTTTTGCAGCACTTTTCACCTCTCTGTTTTAGGCACATTTGATTCTTATGAATGACTTGATTGCATGTTAGATTTCCAGAGTTTAGGACTATTCTTGAGATTCATAAAGTTTTTACTTTCATAGGTCAATTGCTGTGAGGATCAATTAAAAATGGAAAACTAGTAGAGCAGATATACAGACATCTGACTTGTTAATGTCATTTGAATAATGTTATTTTCAGTAAAATCATTCTTGTGGGATGTAGCCAAACCCTCTAGTAAAGTGGGTATGTGGCCTTTGGTAGACCTACTGTCTCTAGGACCTCTGACATTCTCTGAGCTGCTTTGAGATTCTGTTGAGATATGAAGAATCTGTGCCTAAGAAAACTAGCTGTGTTCCTGTTATCTGCAGAACAAGGATGTTAGCCAATACTGGGATTTGACACTATCAAGGGTACATATATTTTATTTGCATATTTATTACAAGTAATTTCTCTAAATATTTATTATATAAATAGTATGTTCAAACATGGGGCAAAATATTAAACAAATACTTGCATGGAAGATGAGCAAGATTCCCTCAGTCAGAACGCTTTAAAGTGTTTTGACTATCTTCAGACACAGGTGATTAGAAGATATTTACTCATGACTTATTTGAAACACACATATAAGGACCTCTGTGTTTTGACAGGGTCACACTGATGCTCATTAAACTATCAGAGGTCAACAGTAATAACTGTGAAGTACAAATTATAATTGTTGTACCATAATCAAGTAAAAAAAGAATAGCTACCGCTCCACCTCACCATAGTCACAGAAATATGTAATTCCAACATCAAATTATTTTGAGTTCTCTGCCCACTTAAAAAATAGTTAATAGCACAATTAATTATAATTTCTAGTGTGTAACATTCTTTTCTTTGTTTCACTTCTAGGTACATGTCACTGTGGCAGGTGCATGTGTGATAATTCAAATGGAAGTGGACTCATTTATGGCAAGTTCTGTGAGTGTGATGATAGAGAATGCATGGATGATGAAACGGAAGAAGTATGTGGAGGTGTGTACGTTAGGTGTGGAAAGTAAAAGCCCATGTTTTTCACCCATTTCATTGTGTGCTTTTCTTTATATAAATTTCTCTTCTAATTCAGTTTGAACCTGTATTTGTGAAACATATCAGGTAAGAAGAGTTAGATGAAGGCTTTTATAGTATTCTGGAACTATTCAATAAATGCAGAACGAAATTGTCCCCAGAGGAGAGCAACGTTACTGATGCAACACACGAGCAGCACGTCTCTGATGCAATCCTGTCAAGACACCGTTTTCTTCTGCTCATCTTAGCTTTTTGTAATCTCTTATTTTTTCCTTATGTCTTAACTGTTTTAATTTTATTTTCTTTCTAAAGCACAGGCCTTTAGGTAGTTCCATGCTCTAATGGAGACATGGAGTGTTATTGGATGGTTATGGTGATTCAGCTTCCTTCTCAGCCTCCCCTGCTGACCTGTTCTGTGTCACCATCATTCAGTCATTTTTTTTCTTTTGAATTAATTCTTACCTGCTTCCAGTTGTTGAAGGCATGTAACACTGAAACAAAGTTTATTTGTATATGCAAACAGAAAAAATTCACTTAAAACAATCAATAGTAGATGTTTAACTTTAATCTTTTTCCTTAGTGTTTCCATTTGTTTGAATCTTGGGAATTTCGTGGTACAGTGTCTCTGACCACACATACCAGTGTCGAGCTACACTCTGGGCATGATGTGGTTAGAGTCCTAGAACTTTCCACGTGTCAGTCACATGAAAACAGTTTGTTTAAAGAATTCTTTAGTCTACCGTTGAAACTAAACAGAAAAAGTTTATTTTTTTCTGTCAGTTTACACCCACAATAAAAACATGTTTGTTGCCTGGGATATGCATTGCCCTCAAGATTACATTTTATTTTAATAAGCTTCTGTTGTCCAAAGTTGTAAATAGAAAATAGAGAAAATAGAGAATAGAGTTTTGGGATATACACTGTTTATTATTATTTGCCCTATGATTATCATGTGGTACTATTTAATCTGCTATCACAAATAATGAGACACAGACACCTGTTGGATTTTATAATTGCTGTATTTACCTTGGTCTGGACAGATATGCCTACCTCACCATTCATCTCCCAGCCTCCATTCTTTGCCATCCTCCTTCACCATCCTATTTTCCATCCACAATCTTATAAACACTTGCTTTTATTCTTCATCTGGGCCTTTTCACGCCATTATTGGAGTCCTTCCTCCCACCCACGTGGTTTCTTCTCTGGATTAACCCATCTCGAGGCCCTCCTTCCTTCATTCTTTCCACCTGTCTGTCTCCCATGATTGTCTCTGTCCTTTCCAAGCCTAGGAACCTTAGGCACACCTACCCCATTCTGCCCTGCCCAGGATAGGCCGTTTAATTAACCAATCCTGTAGGCTTATACAACACACATAGGTGTACCCCGATCTTAGGGCCAGTAACATGCATCAGACCCAACAGCCAACAGTCCAATGTGGTTTTATTACCCTTCATTTGAATTATTTTCCATGTCTTTATTAAAGTGTAGTTTTACATTAGTTTCCTTTCTTACTTAACCCCTTATATTTTAAATTGAAAACAGATTATTTTCTCATACAATATATCTGGTCCAGAGTTTCTCCTCCCTCTACTCCTTCTGGTTCTCCACCACATCCCTTCTCCCCCAAATCTACTCCCCCTCTTTCAGAACTAACCCCTTATTTTAATGTTTATTTTAAAACAAGCCCTGTTGGATATTGAATTTTATAAATATTCTAGGAACTTGCACAAAAAGTATGAATATTTATGAGAATTCATTAGTAAAGAGATACCATACTGTTACGTGGAAAATTTACTAGTAAGGAAACTGAAAGAAGGCATGCAGTCACTTTTCCTGATTATCAGGGACTGTAGTCCTGGAAGAGGGAACCAGAAGAATAAATACCTTAGAGTCTCATAATTACCAACTTTTATGATTAAGAGAGTCTAGAATAGGAAGTATATAGGACATTCATCTGTGTTTGGATGAAACCACTATAAAGAAGAGAGCATAAAAAGTGTGAGTTTGAAGGGAAATACTATTTTGGAGAGTTTTGGAGAAGGAGAGCTAGACATTCAGGATGGAAGTGTAGAGATGGCAGTCTGCAAAAGGCTTTTGGGTTGTACAAACGAAAATGTGAAAGGTTATAGCAAGGTGGCCATTGTAGCTTGACATTTCAGCCCGAAATAAGGGGCACCCTTAATTCTCATTTGTATTCTCTTGATACCAGAGTTAGAGTTTGATTATGAGACCAAGAGTATATTGCATTTTATTGTTTAACTCAGAACTTTTCACATGATGAAGCACAAAAGCTTGCAGGACACAGTGGAATGAGAAGATGAAATACTTCCTCTATTTTGAGACTGAGTCAGCCACTAATAAAGCATGTCTAAATAAACATGCACTGGTGCTTTATCAATAGTTTATTTCAAATAAATAATTTTAATTAGCTTCTAGAAACATCCACACAGTAAGGCTTTTATATATTTGTGATGTGTATACTTGAGAGGGTGATTTGATAATCATTCTTTCGTTTCTCTCATTTTTTGGTTTCTTCTCTGGATTAACCCATTGTGGGGCCCTCCTTCCTTCATTCTTTCCACCTGTCTTTCTCCCATGATTGTCTCTGTCCTCTCCAAGCCTAGGAACCTTAGGCACATCTACCCCATTCTGCCCTGCCCAGGATAGGCCATTTAATTACTTTCCATCTTAATCACTTTCCTTGTAGGCCAAGGTAAAGGACATATTGGCTGCATTTATTTGTATATTATATAGATATAAGCTAAATTCTGATGTTTTGGGACAAAATATATATATATAAGTTGATTAATTTCAGCAACGATCTGGCAACCTTTGTTATTTTCAAAGGCAAAAATGATTGTGAAGAGGTAGAAAGTTAATGCTGCTTTGAAAAGGTGCTTTTTTCCTCACTGTATAAAATTCTTTTGGGTAAAGGCCATGGGAAGTGTTACTGTGGAAACTGTTACTGCGAGGCTGGTTGGCATGGAGATAAATGTGAATTCCAGTGTGACATCACCCCCTGGGAAAGCAAGCGAAGATGCACATCTCCAGACGGCAGAGTCTGCAGCAACAGAGGTGTGTTAGTCATTCCAGTTACCACATCACCTGGTAGAAACAAAGCTCATTGTTGTTAAGACTTCTTCTCAGTATATTTCCTTCAGTGTGGGACAGTCTTCACCCAAAACCACCTATTCTGATGAAATCCACATTGACACTAACAATCTTATCTTTCTTGTTCTTTACTGAGATAAGAGAAAATAGTCATTCTTTTTCTTAGTGTTTTTTATTACTTCATTCATTTTACATCCTGATTGTAGCCCCCTCCCCCTCCCCACCCTCCCTCTGTCTTCCCCCTATCCCTGTCTCCTAGTCAGAAAAGGGGAGCCCTCCTCCCTTACCAACTGACTCTGTACTATCAAGTTTTTTCAGCACTGCTTGCCATCCTCTTCCTCTGTGGCCTGGCAAAGCAACCTCCCTCAGGGGAGGCGATAGAAGAGCAGGCAACAGAGTTCATGTCAGAGACATCCTGAAGTCCCCTTATTAGGTGACCTACATGGAGACTGAGCTGCTTATTGGCTACATCTGAGCAGAGATCATGTGTTCTTTCCATGCATGGTCCTCAGTTGGTGCATAAGACTCTGCAGGCCGCCCTGGGCTCAGATTTGTTGGCTCTGTCCTGGAGGGCTCCTGTCCCCTTCAGGTCCTTCTTTCCCCGACTCTTCCATAAGACTTTCTATGCTCTGCCCAAAGTTTGGCTGTGAGTCTCAGCATCTGTTTCAATTCTCCGTTGGGTGGAGTCCTGTTCCCTCTCTTCAACCATGTCCAGTGTCTATTCTATTTGTCCTTCTGAGAGAATTAAGCAGCAAATAGTTAGCAAGGAGACTGGAAATTCTTTGGCACCTGTACAAAACTGGAACAGCACAGCCAAAAGACAATTCCTGCAGATGCTATGCTAAATATCTTTAGACTAAAGAATCATATGAAAGAAGGGGGAGTTAGTATGAGGTGGAGAGTATAGGAGCTCCACAAGGACCAAATATATCTGGGCACAGGGGTCTTTTCTGAGACTGATATTCCACCAAGGACCATATATGGATATAACCTAGAACCTCTGCTCAGATGTAGCCTGTAGTAGCTCAGTAACCAATTGGTTTTTCCCTAGTAAGGGGAACAGGGACTATTTCTGACAAGAACTCAGTGGCAGGCTCTTTGACCTCCCCACCCCCCAAGAGAGGAGCAGTTCTGCTAGGTCAAAGAGGAGGACTTTGCAGCCAGTCCTGAATATACCTGATAAAGCAGGGTCAGTTGAAAGGAGAGGAGGTCTTCCCCAATCAGTGGTCTTGGAAAGCTGCAGGGAGGAAATGAAGGAGGGAGGGTGGGATTGGGAGGGAATGAGGGAGTGGGATACAGCTGGGATACAGAATTAATAAAATGTAACTAATAATAAAAATTTAAAAAGATAATAAAAAAGAATCATGGACAGCATAGTATCTGATTATGCAGAGGATAGTCAGACAACCCTCCTGTCTTAATCATGGGTAATGGTAGGCTTGGTTTAAATGCAGAATCAGCATAAATGAATTTAGCTTACTAAAATGTATTTAAAACAATAGATAACAGAAACCATAAATCAAACACCCCTATTAATTGTACAGTTACCTTAAACATAAAGGTTAAATGTTATGCTTATCAAATATAATTTAAAATTATAACTGCTGGTATAAAATCAAATTAAAAAAACAATTCATTAATGTATTTTGTGTGCTTGTGTTCTTAAATGTATGGGCATGTATTTATCATGGCATACCTGTGAATGTCAGAGAACAACTTGTGACAATAACTTCTGTCTTAGCATGTAGGCTCTGGAGATAACACTCAGGTGTTATCTTGACCATGGATGCTTTTTACTCATTGAGCATCTCATCAGCATAGTTTAAGGGACTTGTTTTTAATGTTTGTTTGTTGATTATTACTGCAAGTAAATGACTTTTTTCGTCTCTGAGGAGGTTAATAAAAGAGAGCCATGCTTGCCTACCTGGTGATATTTCACTTTCTTTAAAAACATTAAAATAGAAAGCTGGGTGAGCTTTGTTTTCTGTTTCTATAAAGGTTCAAGTCATTTTAATATAGTTTGCTCAGAGAGAAATGCCTGACACAGTGTCTTAAATATTGATAAATAGAGAAAGACATAAGTATTTAAAGAATAAAGAAGGCAAGAATCCTGGGCTTAACACACACACACACACACACACACACACACACACACACACACACACACGGGAAACCCTTTGTTTACGTGGAAGACCTCCTACTACATATCACACTAACTCACTCTTCTGCCAAAGACCTTTGTATTCTAATGGCTACAAAGCCAGAATTTTGGTAGTACATTCACCCACGCCCTTGAAGCCTCTAGATTCTGCATGCTTCATTACCAGTGACAATCCAACATAAAAAATAATTTTTAACTTTATATACATTTATTAGTCAGTTATATTCAATATCATAAAAGTAATTTTAATTCATTATGAATGGTCTTACCCTCAACTCTTAATGATATTATTTGCATGGTCAACTCTTGTCATGCTTATCATAAATTCCCTGATATTTCTTATTTTCTGTCTTTGCCTGTCTTATGTTAGGCATTTTAAAATGTCTTGATGTCTAAGAACTGGTTAGATATTTGTGAATGAACTTTTACCTTTTACATGCATACATATTAATACTTGCTTCAGCTCTATGGGCTATTCTTCTTCTGTTTCTTGTCCTAATCCAAATTTCAAAGTTTCATGTTGTTAAGTATGTTTCTTTCTTTTTTTTTTTTAGTAATTGTGTTTCAGATATAAATTTTGAACAAAATTTAATTTGTTCATATCCTATGGTTTTATTATGTACATTTAAGTTTTAGTCAAATTGCTACTTATTTTTATTTAAAGAAGAGATTTCTTATTTTAGTTCCCAAATAATTTGCCTGTTATCTATCCTAAAAGCTGACAACCAATGTAAAGAAAATATTACTGACAACAAAATGCTTTCCAATACACTCTCCCACTGGTGAGGTCACACCTCTCAGTTCTGTCTGCATGTTCAATTTTCTTAGATTCCACATCCAAAGTTGGCTAAAACATTTCCCTCCTAGGTATATATGTATTGTCTACTCCTGGTGATGCTTTCATACTGCAATTTTCAAACTCCTAAGTTGGTCATAACAAATTTTGAGTTACCTTTTTCTGTTATCTTTGTCTTCACTTTTTTTGGATCAAATTGTTTATATGTTTCTTGCAGCCAACAATGATTTATTGCTTTAATATTAGCTTTGAGACAAATTGACACAATATTAATGGAATATCTAACTATCTCACATAAGTATAGGTAACTTTTATTTGTTAAGAAATTTTTGCTATCAACATTAGATGGCGTTTCTCTTAGAATATTTTATCTTAAATATTTATATTTTAAAAATGTAAGAGAATCAATATTTTAAATAATAAATATGCCAGATGTTTTCTTTTATACTTTTGTCTTGCCTGGATCCCCATAAAATTTCTTTTTTTTCCCCCACCATCTAGGAACGTGTGTATGTGGTGAATGTTCTTGCCATGATGTTGATCCAACTGGGGACTGGGGAGACATTCACGGGGACACGTGTGAGTGTGATGAGAGAGACTGCAGAGCTGTTTATGATCGATACTCTGATGATTTCTGTTCAGGTAAGGTAGCTCCTGTTTCTCATTTTATATAAAAGATTTACTTCCTTGTTGTGCAGTCATTCTGATTCTCACATACACTGAGACAAAGTGAGCTTGCATCCCCAGGCTTTCTGTGTTTTCAGTGCTACTCAGTACTGTGGGCAAAATCTAGAGATTTCAGACTTTCTGCAAAGACTTGAGATGAAACTCACCCACTCTTAATATTAGCCTAATCCCTGGCTGAGAAGATCCATTATCTCCAGATATCATTCAGCACAACTATGAAACCGCAGAACTAGCGACCTGCTGGCTGTCAGCAAAAGACTGCAAGAGAAACATATGCCAAAACTTAGGTCAATACAGTTGTTGGGGGGAATGATAGATTCATAAACTGATAAAAAATTTTCACAAAATACTCTGTAGTGCAATCTATCTTGTTAATGGACTCAAGTATTTTACATTTTAAATATTTATTTAGCAAATTCTTTATGCCAGCTTATGGGTTGTGTCTGGGTTACTGAGACCAGCAGTTAAGGAAGCAAACGTGGCTGGAAACTTTAAAGACCAGCAGGAAAGTATCTGGGAACTAGGGAGAGGATTCGGTGGGTGACGGCCCTTAGCAAATAAACACAAGGCCTCACGTGGGGGTCACAGAACCCACCTAAGAACCTGGACAGGGCTGTATGTGTGCCTGCAATCCCAGTGGAAAGCAAATTTGAGATAAGGGGCTTGCTACTCGCCATTCGCGCTCCAGGTGGAGAGACGCCACCTTGAAGAACAAGGCAGAGAGCTATGGAGAAGGACACCCGAGTCCTCTGCTGGACACCGTGGGTACAAGCACAGGGATGTACACCCACGCATGTGCACACTCCCCCAGTGAAGTTACAGATTCTAAGCTTGATAATCCAGAAGACAGAGGTTGTGTGCATGTGTGTGTTGTGCACACACATTTTTTAATTTAAATTTTATTTTTATATTAATCACAGGTTGTTTACTTTGTATCCCAGCCATAACCCTCTCCCCCATTCCCTTCCAATCCCACCCTCCCTCCCTCATCTCCTCCCTGCCCCTTTCCAAGTCCACTGCTGGGGGAGGTTCTCCTCCCCTTTCATCTGACCCTGGTTTATCAGGGATCTCCAGGACTGGCTGCACTCATCTTTATCCTGACTGCTTGGTCGGTCCATTTCAGGTAGACAAACAATTCCTTTTGGCTATGGAAAGTTTGCCAGCAAAAGGAGATAGAATAGTTGTCCTGTGTAATCATGACTGTGTAACTTCAGAGGCTGGGCTAGCCTGGTTCCAGAACTTTCCTCCTGCAGACTCCTTCTTCTGAAAACCCTTCAAATCTTGTATTCATAGTATTTTAGAAAATGTGCATGTTCTCCCATATCATTGGTGCCACCACGCTGGTTATTTTTTAGAAGCTAACAATTATTGAATGCTTTTTGTATGCTAAGCATACCAGAGGTTGTGAGGAAATGAGCTTGTTTAGCATTCTAATTAGGGAGATGTGTCTATTCACATAGGTAGGTATAAATGGCAGGATGCTACTGGACCACAGATGTAGAATTCTGTCTTAAATGTAGGTTTCAGGTAAGGAACTATAAAAAGAACATCCCAGAAAGGAAGAAGAGAGGAATATGATGCTTGTTTGGAACAAGGGGAAAATAACCAGAATGTGGGAGGAAGGAGATAGACTACTAACTGAATTCTGACCATAATATTCTTCAGGCAATGGAGAGCTTGTGAAGTGTGTAGACAGAAGACTACTACCATCATTGCTTTTCTAGCCTTATTGTCTGAGTAAATGCTGGTGCTATTTGCAATGGTTGGGCAGAGAAGGAAGTTTGGGGATATTGTGAGCATATGAGACCAGTGGCAAGTCAAAGGTGATATCTTTTGAAGCTTATTGAATGTAGGATGGGGCTAAAGATGAGAATTTAAGGCTGTAAACATTGAGATGGTAGTTGAAATTATAATGAGGTTCAAAATACTACTACATTTTTAATGTTTTCTATAAGCAAATAATGCAATTTTAAAGAAGAAAACAAAGTAAATGATTAACCAAGACTGTGTCTGTAGAAAGAGGAAATTAAATTTGTGATGCTGATGTGATGGCAAGTACTTTTTTCATGATTTTCATCTGATCTTGATGCTGATATATGTATGGGGTTGGTCATTCATAATTACTGCATTGTAGTGATCCTTCATAGCCTTTTACACACTCAGTTCATGTGGCACTGCTCAGCTACTATAGTAAGCTAAGCACCATGACTCCGTGTTTTCTTAACTTACCTTCTTCACTCCCTCTGCCTTGTTTTCTTTCTCGTCCCATTTCCAACTATTACCTAACATGTAGGTTAAAGAAAAAGGTGGTTGAGTAGTTATGGCTACCTGGATGGCAGGATTGAAAGGGGAAGAGTAAATGATTCATCTTTCATATGTGGCCAAATGCTGTAGGTACAGAAAGGTGGGAAGAATTGATTGTGGTCAATTGTGATGTGAGTAACAAGACATCATGGGTAACTGTGATTTCTGTTTATTTGGTTGAAGTGGTTTTAACATAGCCATTGTGGCTCCCAGACTTAAGAAAAGGAATTGAAGAAGAAGACACTCACATGAATTGAGATCATTGGTTGGCCAGGCCCTTGCAGTGTTCTGCAGTTACAGATTATTCCATTTGAATTTTTGTACCAACTCAGGGAGGGAGACATTATCTATGTTTTATCAGAAAAAGAAATAATTTCATTCATTCATTCATTCATTCATTCATTCATTCATTCATTCACAGGAATTAAATATTTTGACAGTATTCACGCTGCCATTGTCTTCTAAAAATATATATAGCCCAAGCACTGATGTGATTTAGCATAGAAATACAAATGCAGTTGTTCAGTTTTACTCATTTTACTGAGGGAGAATTGTTCTGTACCCAAATTCTTATAAATCTTACTTTTTCTGAACTCCTTGATGAATTAGGGCTGGCGGATTTCTGAATTCTGTCTAAGCCTGTTGAATTCTGTAAATCATGCTGAGAGCTTTAGACTTTGCAGATTTCCTAACTACCTCTTTCACCGATAATGTAGATAATATAGGGTGGCATACATTTGATTATCAAGTTATGTGAACCCCTTTGTGTGATGACAAAGAAAAACCTGACATCAAATTCTCCAGGGATTTTTGCAAAGCAAGAATGTAATAAGGCTTGAATGAAATGTAGTTTATATTTAGCTCTCATTCTTGTTCTGCTGAGACTATTGGTCTTATTTAAGTCTAAAGGAAATACCTAAGTGCATTAGTTTAAGTCGGTGCTTTTACTTGACATTCTCATTTCATTCATTCACTCCAGCTCTGTCCATCTGTTCTATCAACATTACACTCAAGTGTAAAAACCTTTATTTTATTTTTTAAATTTTATGTTAGTTTATTTAATCTACATCCCGAGGGTGCCTCCTTCCTCCCCACCTTCCAGCCCTGCCCTTCCCTCCCCCTTTATACTAAGAAAAGGGGAACACCCCCCATCAAGTTTTCCCAGAATATCAAGTCACATAAGGACTGAGCATATCTTAATTCCCTGAAGCTAGACAAGACCTGCCAGGGAAAAGTGATCCAAAATCAGGCAATGGAGTTCATGTTAGAAACAGCCATCCCCCCCTCTACTTGCCAGGCACCCCACAAGAAGGCCAAGCTGCCCATTAGCTACAGGTGTTCAGTGAGCCTAGGTCCAGACCATGCTTGTTCCCTAGTTGATGTCTCAGGCTCTGAAAGCCCCCATGGAACTGGGTTAGTTGTCTCTGTTGGTCTTCTTGTGAGGTTCCTGTCCCCCTCCCCCAGATCCTTCCAGCCTTCTTCTAACACTTCCACAGGACACTTAGAGTTTTGCCCCGTGTTTGGCTGCACATCCCAGCGTCTGTCTCCATCTGCTGCTGGCTGGAGCCTCCCAGACTACAGTCACGTTAGGTTCCTGTCTGCAAACATAGCAGAGTATCATCATTAGTGTCAGGGGCTGGCTCTCTTCCAGTCTTAGGTTAGACCAATTTGCAGGCAAATAGATGGAACTAGAAAAGATCATCCTAAGTGATGTAACCCAGACACAGAAAGAAGCACATGGTGTGTACTCACTTATAAGTGGATATTAGACCTATAATACAGCATAGACATTGATGCTGAGTAACAAGGGGGGCCCAAGGGAGGGTGCCAGAATGTCACTCCGAAGGCAAACAGAATAGACAGCAGTAGTGGATGAAGAGAGGGAACTGGGAAGGCTATGGAATGGGGAAGGAAACAAGGGTGGAGATCAGATGTGGGGAGAAGGGGTGGGAGGTGAGAGGGATGGGGACACGAAGGGAAACTGAGGGGGGGCATCTCCTTGTCAAGCTGGAGGCCTGCCACAGGGTGGGCTCCTGGGAGGGCATGGGTGTGACTCTAGCTGAGGCTCCTAATGCGAGGGGCATGAAGACTGGAGTGGCCACCTCCCAGACAGGCAAGACTGGTGGAAGGAGGGTATAACAACCCACCGACAAAACCTGTGACCCTAAAATAACCCTGCCTTCAAGTTTAAAAATCTTATACTTAGCAATCATAGGTACAAGTGTACAGATGTATTAAAATATCACACCTGCCTCTAAATTAGTTTCATTACGTTCTTTCATTTCTAGATTATATTATCAACACAGTATGAAATTGTGTATATTCTTTCAAAACCATCATACAACCCTACACATACACACATAGGTAGGTGTGCATTCGTGTGCAAACACACACTGATACACACACCCACACTCACAAAGGCACTCATTTCAAACAAAAGACTTTATGCCAATATTTGGACATGACTGAACTGACAAGTGTACAACTGGAAATCTAAACTAGTATGTTTATTCAGCTTCTTTCCTGATTTTGAAATAACTTTTTAACTTTTATTTTATGTAGCTCTCTCTCCCCCTCCCTCGTGTGTGTGTGTGTGTGTGTGTGTGTGTGTGTGTGTGTGTGTGTGTACCAGTGTCTTGGAGGCTAGCAAA